AAATGATTTTTGGAGACCAGAATTGGAAAACTTGGGGTGTGTGTGTGTTACATATATAAATATACATACACATTTATTATTAAAAATATATCATAAAATATCACTTATAACAAATCAACAGCCCATATGCTAGTGTTATATTAGTATTATATATTTACTATTATAGTATATATTAATATTTTTAATACGTTTTTTTATATGTATTTTCAAGTTGTCATTTTAGTTTTAGTAATTCTGGTTGTTTTTTTAATATTTCTATTTAGCTCTCATTTATTTTTATTTCAGTTTTAATTTGAATACTCAGCTTATTTTTTTTTAATTAGTTGCCAAGGCAACATGTCCATTTTTTTCCCTTTTCCCTTTACCTATTTCAAAATTAATGAAAATCTTTTTTTAATAGTGCAATAATGCAACACTGCATATGCAAATAATTAAGACGCAAACTATAGCATAATCTTTAGGTGTGATAAATAGTAGCTAACATAGGCGTGTCCGAAGGGCAGTGTGATTGCAGCCCTGAGCGGGGAGAGCTGGGTAAAGAGGGCGGGACACACATGTGCTGTTGCTGTCATGTGGTTAAGCAGGCATGTGGTTGGGGGTTGGGTCTGCTGTAGAACATCCTTAAAACTATAAAAACACTATATATGAGCCAAAAAGAGAAGCTGGCCTTGAACAATACAATCATTTAGCTGCATGTAGGTCACACTGAACCACGGTGCAATTTACAAGTAAAGAAATTGTGTTTATATATTTTTCAGGGAACTTAGAGAATGGAGATTTGGGATGAAAAAGTGCATAGGAAAGCAAAATGTAATGCTGTAAGATGATAATCCAGACAGCAAAAATAGATAAGTAAACAAGTCCCACTCACAATAGATGGTGTGGAGGTGGCAGTCTTGATGGCAGGGGTGGTATTCTCTGTATTCTTGCTTAGCTTGTTGTCTAGGATGTTCTTCTTTACCACTTTGAGATCACGGTTCTTGCCTGGGATGTATCCATGTTTCAGGGATATCAGGATAGGGTCTCCATTCTTCCCTTCAAACCATTCCTCGGCCTCCAGGGGGGCCTCCGGACCCGCAGTGTCAGGGTAAAGGTCATCCTGGAACAAGTCCGACTGATGGAAGGAAGAGTGTTATAAGTTGTTAAGATATGCAGTAGATGAATCATGCAAATAATTCAATCAATCATGCAAAAGATGCAGAGTTCAGTTACTTGGTGTTAAAGCTGTTTTCTCAATTTATGTCCGTTGATCATTCTTTTGTGGCTAGTGAAAATGTTGTCCACATATTTTTATATATTTTTTGGAAACAATATTTATATTTTTCAACAAATACACTACCATTCAAAATCTTGTTGTCAGTAAGGTTTTAGAAAATGTTTTAATGTGGCTAGTGAAAATTTTGGCAGCACTGACCCTTAACTATCTTACACTGGTTCTGGGTCAGAGGGTTATTCTTATTATTGAACCCTTATAGGGGACACAAACATAAATAAAGAAGGTGAAGTGAACAAGTTTTTCTATTTTGGACACTGACTCCTCCAGCATTGTTGCCTAGGTGCCGTGGTAAACAGTTAACGGCAGTACTCACGGTCGTACAAGTTGGTTTGAACATACTGCAGTTTAAAGCCAAATAATAAAATGTGATGAAAGACCTGTAGTGGAGGAGTAGTATAAAATTAATCAAACCCAGTGTGAAAACCACCTGAATGAGTTTCAAAACAGGGTCTGGTAAACTAATAGAACAGCTTTTTGACAATACCAGAAAACAGAAGCCAAAGCAGGAAGTTGTGGCTCAGAATATACAGTCCAGGCTGCAGGGCTGCTGTACTCTTAAAAACAAAATAGCAAAACAACTCAAAAGGCTCACTTTTCTTGGCACGGTCATGATGATAGGTTCACACTTTCTCTCATGCAGTTTGTAAAACCTGAGAACGCACACAAGCACACAAGTCTATTAGAACATTTCACGAGGGCAGCAGACGTTAGTGCAGGACTCATTTGGGAAGTCAAAACATAACAGGGTGTGAGACGGGGAAAATACCAACATACAAAAATAACACACCAAGCAATTATGCATGAGCCTTAGATGCCCATAAAATGGAACCTCTATTCATGCATCAGTCCTCGTTAGGAATATAAATCTTATTCTGAAGGATCCAGTAGCCCTTTGTTAACCAGGTCTAGTGCTGCCCTCTTTTGGGTGGACTGGGACTCTATTCCCTGCATGCACTGGTGTAGACATATAGCACTACAAACTATATATTAAAAATCTCAGCAGTTTATGAAAAACTAGCAAAACCTAGACTAAATTAACTACATTAAATATAAACAATCAAAAAAGGATGGGGGAAAAAACTTGCAAAGAAACATCCGGGTCATATTTCACCATTTATTTATTTAATTTAAATCAGTATATAAGTAAAACACATACAATGTGGAAATATTACATGGTCTTAAAAATAGGATAAAATAAAAATAAACCATTTATTTTTGGGGTGAAATATGACCTGGTCATATTCCTGACATGTTTCATGAGATTCTACCACGTACTACCATCAGCTAAATAATTATTGTTGCTATACCTTGCGATCTCACACTTGTTGACGTCCAGTCCTCTCTTGGGCATGTATCCCATGCCCCTCTGAGGCTCCTTAGTGGTAAAGGTGCTGAGGTAATGGACAAAAGGAGCTTCATCTGTGATCTCAAAGTAACGGATGCTGCTGTCACCCTATTAGAGACAAAACATCAGTCAAACACTAAAACCCTAATGTTACTACCATCGAACCATTTGCAATAAATAAACAGAATGCAACATAATAAATACTAAATATCCAGGTGTACACTACCGTTCAAAAGTTTGAGGTCAGTAAGATATTTTAATAAGCTCACCTTGCATTTATTTGACCAAAAATGCTGTAAAAACAGTAACATTGTAAAATACTGTTACAATTTCATTTTTTTCTATTTTAAAGCGGTGGTTCACTGGTTTTTTTCTAGGCTTGATTGTGTTTATGGGGTGCAGTCTAACATGTATTAATGCTTTGTTTTTAAAACAAACGCATTATTTTTCACATAATTTACCTTTATTCCACACCGCTCTTTGTCCCTTCTCTGAGAAACGCGCTGATCAATTTCCTGCTTTTATGAAGCCCCTCCCTCAGAAATAGGCGATGGGCTCTGATTGGTTAGCTAGCCCAGTGTGTTGTGATTGGCTAAACCGCCTCTAGTGCGCGTCTAATCGTCCCGCCCCTCAGCGGCATGTGCTCCGGTTGTATTGTAAACAACGGCGTCGTTAATATCGCTTATCAGTTTGAGCCCTTTAAAAGACAACATCTCCGTTTACATTGAACTTTCAGCTTCGTAACTTTGCAGATATTGTTTATGCTCAAACAGCAACATTACACACTAACTAACGTTAAAAAAGTGAAATCGCAATCAACCACCCCTTTAATATATTTTAAAATGCAATTTATTCCTGTGATGGCAAAGCTGAATTTTTTGCATCATTACTCCAGTCTTCAGTGTCACATGATCTTTCAGAATTCATTCTAATATGCTGATTTGGTGCTCAAGAAACATTCCTTATTAATATCAATGTTGAAAACAACTGTACTGCTTAATTTTTTAGTGTCCTTTTTTTTTTTTTTTTAAATAGAAATTCCAAAATAATTGCATTTATTTAAAACAGAAATGTTATATTATAAATGTCTCTACTGTCACTTTTGACAGCTACCCCAGACTTTTAAACGGTAATGTATGTGCTGCGTTTACCTTCCCACACAGGTAGACCACATTAGTATCGGGATCATAGAAGGGCAGGAGGACTCCATTACTGGTGTCCATCTCATGGACAGAAACTGGCTCCTCCATATTGTCCTGACAGACAGACAGAGCAAATATATGGTCTAAATATATTGAAAAGGACAATTATATGACACTTCCATCAGAAACTGCAACTAAAAGTTATTTTCTTAATCTGGAAAACATAAGAAAGATCAAAGTTAGGCAAGCCTAAAGTGTATCTGTTTGCATTTATTTATGAGCAGGTGTTAGGATGAAATTTGTCTACGGTTTCCATGGCAACTTACCGGATCCCAGAGGGCGAGTTGTCTCTCGCTCATGCGGCTAAAACCAGTGGTGAACACTTTGCCGTCAGACAGGAAAATAGCTCTTATGGGCCTGGCACCCTCATGGGCCTTGTCCTTCTCCTGTCAGCGAGGCACACCATAATACATCACAATACTGCTCACATTCACTCAAAACTGAGCAGCCGAATGCTTTTCACACATCAACATACAGCACTTCAACTGACAGAGAAAAGCCAGAGAAACATGTCAATCCATGTAATTCAGAAACTATTATATTCGGAGTTAACAAATAAAATCTATAAACACTACGTGTCCATTTGCTTCAGAAAAGCAAGCACTCACCGCAACGATCTCCTCCTTGCGCGGGTCGATCACACGGACCTTCTTGTCCTTGCATGCGGTGCAGATGAGACTGCCGTTGCGGTTCCAGCAGACGCTGAAGATGATGTCAGGGTGCATATCCTCAAGGGTGATTATGGCTTCCCCCGTCCCCACATTCCAGATGATAATCACATTATCACAGCCTGCAGAAAAACCCAAAAGAAAATGGGGAAATAATCACGTTTGAATGTTAAAGAAGCTATTTATTAGACAGCAGCTTGAGCTGCTTTTTCCATTGAAGCTATTTTGACAGATACTGATAAAGGCAACTGGATGAGTGTCAAAACATTAAAAACACAAACACGTCTGTTATGGTTTCTATCAAATTTCCTTCTCCCTGACGGATCAGGTGAGGCTTCTCACCTGCGCTGAGCAGGATGTTGCGGGCGGTGGGATGCCAGGTAACGATTCCCACTCTCTTAGAATGACCCTCCAGCACCACCACTGGCTCTGGCATGGAGGTCACCAATCCATTCTCTGGGATCTGCCACACCTGAAAACAACAAAAAAAAAATTCATATTCAAATATTCAATTCATCTAAAATATTACTGAAGTGCAAGTATACATGGAAATGAAGTATATCGTTAAACAAGCCTAAAACCATTACAACATCACTTTCGGCAAATTAAATAATGCTGAAATAAAAATACATAAATATTAAATGAAAAAATTAGACGTAAAAAAATTGAAAAACTGAAAATTAGAAATGTTGCCTTGGCAACTAACTGAAATAAAGTTTAAGTTGAAGTACTATATTACTAAAAACTAAAACAAATGAAAATAAAGCTAAACAGAATTATTAAAAAAATTATAAATGACATAACTAACTTACTAAAATAAAAAATAAATGCCAATTAAAAATATTAATAAATACCAAATAGCATATAAATAACACTGAATCAAACATAGTTGCTAAAATGAATCATATTGTGAACCAAATATTTTATTAAACAAATCACCTTGTTTTACTTCTATAATTAATAATTAATTTGCCAGGAGGTCGCAAATATCAGATGAAAAACTGAAAGAATTTTTTTTTTAATATTGGCAATTAACTGGAAAAAAAGTTAAACAAAACTGAAATGGAAATAGAAATAGAAATAGACAAATTAAAAAAAACTAATAAAATGACAAAAGCACATAACTAAATTACTAAAATTTTAAATAAAAATATCAAAATGCTAATTCAAAATATAAAAAATACCACCTGTATATAAATAACTGTAATTTAAACAACTATGTTAAATTCAGTGTTGTTTTAACTACATTATGATGAAATCGGATTAAACTATTTTGTTTCACTTTACATTGATTTATTAATTTTAAAGTTACATTCATTTTCACTCGTTTCATTAATTTTCCTGAAGGTGGCAGCAGAGGGCAAATAATGGAGTCCAGCAGAGTTTTGATTTTAAACGATTAAAAGTACAGATGTTCTTTCAAATTTTTATGGCAGAAATAGTAATAGTAGTATGCGATTTTTTAAGTCAGCCTCTCTCCTTATCTTCCATTCTTCTCAGCTACACATCGATTATTCTCAGCATTTATTACATACATGTATTACATACAACAGCTCTCAGAAACACTTGATTCTGATTGGATAATCACAACATTTTAAGACTAAATATTTCTATATAATAGACTGTGTAATAGACTGGATGAGTGTACATTATTCCCTCACATAGCCACTGCTAAACCTGTTTAATGTCATTATCATCATCATCCCCTAAACACATCATAGGTAACTAATGAAATTGCCCTCCAGCATGTCTATACTTCAATGTAATTCAGATTTCATGAATCTAAGAATGTAGGGCAAAAAACAAACAAACAAACAAAAACACATAGGAATCATCAACTTTTCAGGACTCTGTATTCCCCAAGAGAGGACAAGAGACAGTGTCCTGTTAAACTCAACACTCATTACACGTATACAAGCACTAGAGTTGCTGTTTTTTCTGCACACTGGCCAAACAAGGGCTAGTAGCATGATAAATAGACCCAGAGCCAGCCAGACTGACCTCAGAACTATAAAATAGTAACTGCTGATTCAATGACTTCAGGCTGGGCTTAAACTAATCTAAAACAGTCCAGAAGAGCAAGCCTTCAGTTATGCTGTGATCCGATCTACAGCCGTTCACATGAGTCATGGGGCAGACTTTGCCAGCCACACATGGACTCAATGGCTGGGTGGAGATGTGATGCCGGCTATTCAAGGAAACTTTATCTACAAATGGTCATATCCACCCATAAAAAAACAAGCTTTAGAATAACTGCAGGGGTTTAGCAAGGGTTGTACTACATAAAATAAAAATAAACAGCACAATGCCATCTTGTGAAGTTCTGTACAGAATCAAAACTTGCTGCTATTCAACAGTTAAGTCAGTGTCAAATTAAGTGTAGAAGAAATGCTTATGATTAGGGGTTCAAAAACGCATTAAGGTGTATAATTCTGACAATTAACACATCACATTGCATTGATTACAGAATAAAAAAAAAAAAAAAGTGAGGTGACGTGGCCAAATGTAATAGTTAGTTATAATTTATATACATTTATATCATTTATACATGTACAACCAAGTTTGGGATCATTTTTTAAAGAAATTAACACTTTCTAACATTAAATTGATTAAAAGTAACAAAAGATTTCGATTTCAAATAAATGCTGTTCTTTTTAACTTTCTAGTCAAAGAAACCAAAAAAATGTTTTCCACAAAAATATTACGCAGCGCAACTTTTTTCAACATTATTAATAATAAATGTTTCTTGAGCACCAAATTAGCATATTAGAATAATTTCTGAAGAACATGTGATACTGAAAACGGGAGTAATGACTGCTGAAAATTCAGCTTTGGCATCACAGCATCTGCCAAAACACTGAAAACAATTATATCATTAAAAACAAAACATTCTCATTTTCCACTAGATATTTTCATCTTTTTGGCACGCTCTGCAGCAACTGACTACTAAAGATCTGGGTATACTTCACTTTCTGCATTCCGTTCCGTCTCGCGCACAACCGAGTCCACACAGCTTTCAAAGAATACTCGACCGCGACACACACACAGTATCACCTACTTGTCTCAACATTCACCTCGTGCCATGATGACAGCAAATGTAAGGAAGAGTGACGTACCATCACGGTGCAGTCTTCAGATCCACTAGCGATGACCTGGTCATTGTGAGGACACCAATCAATGTCCAGAACAGGGCCAGTGTGGCCACATACTGTAGGGTAGGCCTTATCGATACGGCCCGTCTGCAGAGAGAAAACACAAAGACAAAGACAAATATTAGATTATGAAAGCATTCGGCTCTTTGGGTAAATGAACTGAGCTCTGACAATGCCAGCTCTACTTAACACCAAAACAAACACTAGCGGCCTGGCCTGCGCTCATGAAATGAGGGGGGAGAGAAAGCCATTCTTTTCCAAATTGTCAAACAATAGCTCATCCGGTCATTCAAACCAACAGCAGAAACATTTACACACGGCAGCGGATTCATAATAAAAACAGATTGCTGGGCTTTTGTTCTCGCAGCTCTGCATCTGAATACAGACACAGAAATACACGTGCAACGGGCCCTTGACCCTTTCACTCAGAGTGAAAGGTCACAAGGAGGTTTGGGCGTAAAGAAAGTGTGAAAAAGCTAAAACGAGACTATTTTGCCACAATTAAAAAAAATATATCTATCTATGATAATTATAAACCACGACAGTTAAATATTAAATGCAAAGATAAACACTAAACAATATATTAATTCTATTTTATTATACATTTAACTAATATTGGGAATAGAACTATAAATGTAATTGCACATCTTATTTGGTAAATATTTGATTCCTTCCATCAGTTCTTTAAACTGGACAGTTAAATGAATCAGTTCAGAGATTTTTTGCATCACAAGTCAAAAATGTTTTATTTATATTTTTAAAAAGTAGGTAAATAACATTGGTGCATATACATAAAAGCAACACTGTGGATAACAAGCCTTATTTATTAATTAATTTAAAAAATATATATTTTTTACTGTATTTTACTTTTATACTATATTTCAATTTCCAAATATTACTAAGATTTTGTATTTAAAGAGATGTAGACTAGTCCAAAGGCAGCCAGATTTCACCATCACATCCAATGTGACTGTTTGCACGGATGTTTGTATATGAAAAACAACAGAAGATTTCCCTCCTCTCCCTTGTACACAGCAAACAAAGAAGCCAAATAAAGGCATGGCTGCGGTCCCATGCCCAGTCAGCTGACTTCCTGATGACATCAGTGCCCTCTGCTCTCCGGGTCACAACCTTTGATCTCTTGCGAGACCACAATCTCTGCACAGGGCTGTGTGATCATGTGTCGAGAGACGACCACACCCACACTTTTGGCCACGCTGCTGCTTTGCCTATGGTGCGATGACATCACAGCAGAAAGCCCAGCCCAGTAAAGCACAACACCCTGGGCTATTCTCAGGCCCGGCCTGTACAAAAAGACACAACCCACCTGTGTGGAAAACCACTCTGTGTACACATTCCTTCTCAAGTCTGGGCATGGTTATAACACAGTCTTACGAAAGAGAAACTATACCTTTCACAGTTATTTGCTAGCTAACCACCCCGTTTCTTTTGAAGTGCGTGTGGTAGTTTCAAATGAGAAGAACGAAAAAGGCACCAAAACAGCATTTCGCAAGAAAAGATCAAAGGTAACTGGAGAGAAAGGACGACAGAGGAATACGTAAGATGATGTTCTTGAAACAGAGAAAATAATCCAAGAATCACACACAGAGGCCTATTATCAGGAACACCGATTACCAATCACTTCATGAACAGCTAAACAAACATACAGACAGACTGGCTCTCACACACTGATACAGCGCCGCTGCTTGCCAATAAAAACAGAATTCACTTAAAGTTCCTAATTTAAAATCCAGCTGTGGGCAGCAGTCTGTCAACCATCACATGCACCAAAAAACAACAAACCAAGATACGTGTTTGCATGAGACTAGTGTGAGAGAATCACTGATGTTGTCTGTGCTAGGAAGTTATGGCGATGCGATGCTGGTAAACACGATACGTGCAGAAAGGAGTGTGACCTGTAAAGCACTGTTGGAAAAAGTCACGGAAACAGAAGGTCATACATCTAGAAAAGTACCGACACATTTCAACAGTTTTACAGAAGGATTCATGTGCTATAAAAAAAAATGTTTTGCCTAACATTTCTGCTTTTTACATTTCTTACTGTAAATGCAATAAAAACATAAAAAACAAATGTAAAAATATAAAATTAATTAATAAATAAATAAATGTACAAATAAAATAAACACTGATGGAATGGAGTCAATCGTTGGGCAGCAGTTGTTTAACCATCACATGCTGCAAAACAAAACATACCAAGAACGCTGGCTATCCCATGATCTTTTGCACTTCTTTTTTGGCTCGTTTAGTCAGACATGTGGAAGGAAGCGATGGCAGAAAAGACGGGGGAGGTGATATAAGGGCACTAGTTCTCTCTCGAGAACCTTCCTGTAAATCAAAGCCTCTAAAGGAAGATCAGGATGATGCACACATTAGCCGTTATATTATTGGCATTTGGATTTATGGATCACGGACATCGGAGCAGAAGGTCATCAGTGATCATCTGCTTATGGATTCTAGATCGGCTTGCTTTATTATTTATTAACACATTAAGAGACAGTATATAAAACTTGTCTATGTGCTTATATATGCAGGCTTGTGATCACAAGGATGAGCAACTTGTAAAAAAACAGAAATGCAGCTATAGAGTGATTACATGATTCTAGATCTTTTGAAAGCCTAGTAAAGATCCTTTATAGAACAATATTTGTCGGCAAGATGTCTATATGATGTGTGCATTTTCACAGACATTGTTAGAGTGCCTGCTCATAAGAAATACAAACAAGTTACAGCAGTTACAGGCAGATGTTTTTTTTATTTTATTTTTTTTGTCTTTGCAATGTTTTGATTGGCCGATTTTATGGTGAAAAAAGTCTGAGATTAATCCAGCATGCATTATGCTAAACTTATATCATGAATATTTTTGTTAAATTCATTATAGCTTACTAAAACCGGAGCCATCCAAAACCGCCGTTGCAGTGCAGTTAGTCTAACCTGTTGCGTAGCAACAGTAGCAGCATTACTGCAGATCCCTCACCTCAAGTAACACAGATCTGCCTTAACCCATACATTCAATAAACCATATTTAAAACAAGCTTCCTCACCTCAACAAAACCAAGTCAGAGAGAGAGAGAGAGAGAGAGAGAGAGAGAAAGAGAGAGAGAGACAGAGTTACCAGTGAAGAGAGACACGGAAAGGAGGAAATGAAAGAGACAGAAAGACGGGACACACTGTGGAGGTGGCCAACAGAAAGTATTACAGAGGCAGAACCTCTTTCTGCAGAAGCTGAAGCATGTCTGTCTTATCTAGTCAGCATGGAAATTTCTATTTCCATTTCCTCTGCGAGCCCATGAGGACCCAGAGGCAGCAGACTACAGCTGACCTGACTGAAGCACCCCAGCAGCTGTCCAACCAGACGTCATGTCATTTTACATGAGCCACACATACAGCCAATCAGGACTGAGAGGGCAGAGCCAACTGTGTGTCAGAATGAGAGCTGCTCAGGGCCAGCAGGTGTATGCAGTTGACTAATACATATGACCTAAATGGAGGAGGGTAGAATAGAGTAAAGAAATGAAGTAGAAAGATCACCAGATTATCTGAGATCCTGTGGTTTAACACTCAAACACTTAAAAAAAAAATACATTAAATTATTTTAAACACAAAAATGCAATTTATTATGGATGAACAACCTAAAAAATAGTAAAGTACAAATATGCAAGTTTATATATAATTATTATTATGATATCTAATTTACTATATTATAAATAAATAAAAAAAGAATTAATTAAATCACAAAGTGACTGACTTTTGCCATCTTGATTTATAGACACATTATAAAATAAAACAGTTGTTTCATGTCAAATTCTGTAAAGGATAGAAGAAATGCATTATAAAAATAAAAAAAATAATAATAAAAAAAAAATTCTGGATGAACAACCTAAAAACAAAATAGAGTATAATTATATAAATTATATAATAACAATAAACATTTATTTAATTATATGATATTTGTAATGTCATAAATATTATAAATTTTTATAAATAATAACAAAAGAAATCTCCAAATGATCACAGTGGACTTGACACATCAACCAAAAAAATTCCCTTCACACTGCCCCTTTTTCTTCTATGCTCCTATCAAAGAATCTATTGGGTGCAAGCACTGTGCTTCAGCCTATGGAAAGGAAAGAGGAAATGGGTCTGGAAGGCTGACAGGCGGGGAGCTGAGGATGACCATATAAGGTCAAATCTGCAGTCAGCAGCCGCCAGGGCTCAGTCAGTGCAGCAGGAACAGTAGGGGGCTCCTGGAATACAGACTGGGAATCAGAATGACACATCCATGGCCACACACACACACACACACACACGTTAAGTTACATCTGTCCATGTGGCAGCACAGGATATATGGAGGTAGACTTTGAGGTAAAGAGACTGAACGCTCACTTCCTTCCTGTGTGCCCCTTTTTCCTGTTTCTCATCTGTGGTGTTCTGGTTCTCCTGCTTTCCCGCTTTTCCGTGAAGTGACAGCAGGAATCAAATGGGACTGCGCAAGAGCCCAGTTCAGTGGCTGATATCCCAACAAATATGTCCAACATATGGTTGGATCAATACTAAATATTTTAGCTTCAATATGATACTAAATCAATACATAAAGCAGCAAATGAAGCCTCGGGTGACTGATGATATGAAACTAGGGCTGTAGTATGGATTTAATTTCATTAATATTAATTATTTGTAACCCGTTTACTTTCAACTTTTCAGCAACAACTTTTTCCTTAATTTTTCTTGCATATGCAACAAAGATGTTTTTTCCCCACTGTTTCCCCACGGTCCCCTTATTGTTTATCCAAAAATATTTCATACATGATAACTTTGTTCTGATGATTAAATTCTGTGCAAATGTCATGCAAAAAGTGCTAATCTTTTTTTTTTTTAATAGCTAAGTTGAACTCATATCAAAATTGATGAACTTCACACTGATACTTAGGGCTGCACAATAATGGTTACACGGTTAAATCACAATTATTTTGCTAAAAAATGAAATCACAATTATTAATCACGGCTTACTGTCATTTAAAAAAACAATCAATTTCATCATAATTATTGCACTTTCACATAAGCACAAA